AATTTGAAGACCAAAGTCACCTCATTCAGGCCATGGTCTTCTCGATTGCATGTTATGCTTAAGAGAGCTGGACAATGAATAAGGATGACAGAAGAATTGATGTCTTTAAGTTGTTGGATGGTGGAGAAGAGTACTGAACAGACAGCCAAAAAACCAAACAGATACGTCCTGGAAAAGGTGTGGCCAGCGAGTTCCTTGGAGGTAAGAATGACCAAACTTTGTCTTTCATACTTTGGACATAGAGCTAGTGGAGGCTATTCCTTGGAAAGATGGAGGGGAGCGAAGGAGAGGAAGACCCCCCCCCAAGAGGTAGGTTGACACTAGGACTTCAGATGTGATGAGGATGACACAGGATAGAGCAGGTTTCAAAGTGGCTGTTCAAAATAAAGTCACTCTAAGTTGTACTATCCTGACAACATCTAACAATAACAACATATTTATCTTATTAATTATTTTTTAAAAGATGAAGGTAGCTGTGAGTGGAATACTTGTTCTTATTCCAACCCTCAGCAATATTCTTTCTCAGCTTTTTTTTTTTAAACTACAGGTAGTAATTTTAAAGAGAGAGCTGGTAGCATCATCTCTAGAGAGTTGTGCTGCTAACCCGAAGGCTCTGCCAGTTTAAATTCACCAGCATCTCCTTGGCAGAAAGACAATCTTCTTGCGCAATTCACATCTTCAGGAACCTGCTGGAGGATCAACTATGAGTTGGTGGTTCTGATTTGATGCTAAGGAACTGGGATGAGTTGAATCACTTAAAATTTTGGTGTTACACTTTTATGATTTTTTTGTGGAAAATACATGTATTTTTAAATACAAAAGGCGGCATGCTGGCCCAGGCCCGGGATCTGGAGCCGTGAGCTCCGATCGGGACCGGTCTGTGCCTGTGGGGCCCTGACAAGCCCTCTCGCTAGCAGCACCACGGCCAACAGTGAGCGCACCTTCGTCGCCATCAAGCAGGACATCAAACCGGACGGCATGCAGCGCGGCCTGGTGGGCGATATCTTCAAACGCTTTGAGCAGAAAGGATTCCGCCTTGTGGCCATGAAGCTCCTTCAGGCCTCTGAGGAGCATCTGACGCAACACTACATGGACCTGAAAGACTGCCCATTCTTCCCGGGGCTGGGGAAGTACATGAACTCGGGACCAATTGTGGCCATGGTCTGGGAGGGGCTGAATGTAGTGAAGACCTGGCGAGTGATGCTTGGAGAGACCAACCCAGCAGATTCTAAACCAGGCACTATTCGTGGGGACTTCTGTATTCAAGTTGGCAGAAACATCATCCACGGCAGTGATTCAGTAAAAAGTGCCGAGAAAGAAATCAGTCTGTGGTTTAAGCCAGAGGAATTGGTTGACTACAAGCCTTGTGCCAATGACTGGACCTATGATTAAGAGGTGGACGACAGAAGCGTCCTCCTGGTTTGAGACTGCTCCGTGTGCTCCTGTACACAGCTCTTCATTCCAAGCTTGGAAATGGGAGGGCTGAGGATCTTTTTCTAAAGCACATCTACCAATAAAGCCTTTGGAAACTGGAAAACAAACAAACAAACAAACAAAGGCGGCATGCTGCTCTTGTTGTTCTGAACTTTCCGTTTTTCCATTTGAGGAGTCCTGGTGGTGTAGCTCATAGTGTGTTGCATTGCTCACAAAAAGGCTTCATGTTTCCAGAGGCTTAAACCCACCAGGAGCTCTAAGTGATACAAGGGGAGAAGTTTCCTCCTTTTAAATGTATATCCTTGGAAGCTTGATAGAAGATCAGTTATTAGTAGAACCAACTCAGAGTTAACGTGTAATATCACCTAGATATTTTTTCCGTATTAGTATATAGTTCTACCTTACTTAAAAGTAGGTTCACAGTAAGTAATCCATTGAATAAATGACTGTAGATAATTTGAACAATTCCCAGTTGTTGGACCCTTAAATTTAAGGAGCAAAATAGGATAATGACTGCCTAGAGGCAATCTCTGACTTAAGTGTCCTCACTCACACTCCACACTCCACACAATTTCAAGGTGACTACTTACACTGGAAAATCTACTGTGAAGAACCTCTCTATAGTGCTAAAGAGCCAGTGCCCTTGACCCAAGCCATGACACTTTCAATTGCTTCGCATGTCTCTAGAAGTTGGACCATGAGTGAGGAAAATCGAAAGAGAATCTATGACTTTGAATTACAATGTTAGCAAAGAGTGTGGAGTATACCTTGGGCTGCCAAAAGACAAACCTATGTTGGAGGAAGTGTCACTAGAGTGTTCCTTAGAGGCAAAGATGGTAAAATTCACATACTTTGGGTATGTTGCCCTGAGAGTTCAGTCCTTGGAAGGAGACATTGTTCTTGGAAAAGCAAAGTGCCATTAAAGATTTTTAACAAGATGGATTGACAGTGCATACAGTGACCATAACAATGGGACAAGTATGGCAGAGATTGTGAGGATGATATGTGAAAGGGCAAGGTTCCAGTCTGTTGTTCACAGGGTCATTATGAGTCTTAACAGCTTGACAGGCATCTAACAACAACAACAAGAAGATATTCTAATAGGAACCTCACTTCATCAGAAGCCTCTTTCTCCCTCATGTCCACCTGCCTAAGTCAGGCACCTCTCATATCTGTGGCTCCTGATATGTCATTCCTGCCTCTCCTAGCAATCCTTTGGACAATAGCAATTCCCTCATCTTGTGACATTTTTGGTTGTTGTCATTATTTTCTAATATAAAAAGATTTCAGTGAAAAATCTCATGCATGTTTAATTTCCCATATATGCAATTGTAGGCTAGATTTCCAGAAATGGGACTAATGGACCGAAGGGCAAGTAATTGCAATTATGCCAGATGGAGCCAAAATTCCTTTCACAGGCAGTGAGCTATTTCAGACTCTCACCAGCAGTGTGTGAGAGAACCCATGGGCTCAGCTGAGTAATGGACTGTTGCACATTTTTGCATTCCAGCTAATATGATAAATAACTAGTTTCCTTACTGTTGTTGCACAGAGAGCAGTGGTCATTCAGTAGTAGACTTTTCACCTTCCATATGTGAGACCTGGGTTTGCTTTCTTGTCAATGTACCTCAGAAGCTGCTGCTACTCATCTATCATTGGTCTTTTGTGTGTTGCTTTGAGGTTGAACAAGGATCTGTGGTGCTGTAGTGATTAAATGCTCAGTTGCTAACTGAAAGATTGGAACCCACTAGCTGTTCAAAGGAAGAGCTCTGATGACATAATCACGACAGAGTTGCGCTGTTAACTCAAAGATAGGATTTCTTTGGTGGTTTGAATCCACCAGCTGATCTGGGGGAGAAAGATGAACAATCTCCTCATGTGATTTAAAGCCTCAGAAATCCTGTGGTAGGGTCAGCTACGAGTCTGTTATGACCCTGTAGCTGTGAGTGAGTGAAAGCTGATGTACGGGAAAGAGTGGGGTGGGGTAACATGCTGCTGTAAAGGTTATAACTTTGAAAATTATATAAGGCAGTCCTATTTTCCCTTTTGGCTCTCTGTGAGTCTCAGAGATATCATTACTAACTTCAGATGGATATTAGTTGAAAATAAAGAATAGCAGAAGGATGTCTATTTGTATTTTGCAAAGGCATTTTACTGTGTGAATCAAAACAAATTATGTCTAAAATAGAGAAGAGTGGAAATCTGAGAACAATTAATTGAACTCAGGTGAAACCTATATCTAGACCAACAGGCTTTTCTTTGTACAGAGCAAGAGAATATGGTTTTAAATCAAGAAAGGTATGTATCAGGATTGTATCCTTCTTCCATACCTATTCAACCTGTATACTGAGCAAATAATTTAAGAAGCTGGATTGTATGAAGAATAATACAGGCCTCAGGATTGGAGGAAGACTCATTGACAATCTGTGTTTTGTAGATGAAAAACCTTTGCTTGCTGTAAGTGATGAGGACTTGAAAGGTTTTCTGCAGAATATCAAAGACTACAGTTTTCAATATCCAACATAAAGAAGACAAGAATCCTCATTACTGAGCCGATATATAATAACATCATGATAGATTGAGAAAATGTTGAAGTTGTCAACAATTTCATCTTGCTTGGATCACAATCAACACCTTTGGTACCAGCAGTCAAGAAGTCAAAAGATGTGCTACATAAAAAAAAAAATAATATGCTGACACAAACCTGTCCAAAGTGCTAAAAAAGCAATGGTATCAGTTTAAAACCAAGGTGCACTTGATTTAAGCTGTTGTCTATTGAATTACTCGCTATGCATCTGAAAGTTGAACAATGACTAAAGATGACAGAAGGGTACTGAATACTCCATGTACTGCCAAAAGAATAAGCAAATATGTCTTTGAGAAAGTGCAACCAAAATGCTTCTTAGAAGCAAAGATGGTAAAAACTTGTTTTGCATATTTTGAGCATGCTGTTAGGACAGACTAGTTCTTGAAAAGGACGTCATTCTTGGAAAGGTGGAGGGTCAATGAAAGAAAAGAAGATCCTCACACAGCTTCTTTATCTATTTGTTTTTTGATGAAATATGGTATAAAATGGGTGACCCTGGGGAACATTATGCTGAATGAAATATTTCAGTCTCAAAAGGACAAATACTGCTTTAAAGAGGGACTGACACTGGAGTTGGGGGAAACTAAGAAGGAATAAATAAAGAATAATGCATTGAAACAGATAAGGGAGAGAACTGTTTAGGAGGAATATATGATTAGGTATTATTGTCATGACATGAGTCCAGAATGAAAACTGCATAGTGGAGTGGACTGGGGAGGGAGGGAATGTATAACAATGAAAGAATTATTTATTTATTTTACTTTTCAAAGAGAAAAGTGAACTGGAGGGGAGGGGTGAACAGGAAGGAAAGTGTGTAACAATGAATAAATGGAAATCCAAAGTCTCTGTAAACGTTCATTAGAATACAAAAAAATTTAAAAGAACCAACTAGGGTACAAAAAAATAGAAAGAAGTCTATCTTTAAAATATTATCATTTTATAGACAGAATTTTCATTATTTTATATATAATTGGCCCCATGGTCCTCCTGAAATGTATCAAGTGTCATAAATTGATATAGCCACAAAACTACTGGCCATTGTTAATGGTGAAACTATTACTGTTATCCATTGCTTCAATCAGCTTTATGTATTGTTGATTCAAGTGGTTCAAATCCATCAGCTGCTCCATGGGAGAAAGGTAGGAAATCCCCTCCCACACCATACTGTTTACTGCCTCTGAAAGCCCACTGAAAGGTCAGCTATGAGCTGGTTCTCATCTGACAGCACACAACTTTTAAGTTTATAAGTAAGTGGTGAAAAGATTGAGATAGTTAACAACTTGCTTGCTTGGCTCCACAACCAACAATCTTAGTACCAGTAGCCAGTATATCAAAACATGAACTGCATTAGGAAAGTCTGCTGTCAAGGACCTCTCCAGAGTACTGAAGAGCAATGATGTCAGTCTGGAGACTAAGGTGAGCCTGATCTAGGTCATGGCCGTTGCAATCACTCCTATGTGTCAAAGAGCTGGTCAATGACTAGGGATGATAGAAGGAGAATTGATGCCTTTGAACTCTGGTGTTGAAGAAGAGTATTAAATATACTATGGACTGCCAGGAGAACAAACAGGTTCATCCTAGAGAGGATGAGACCAGGCTGCTCCTTGGAGGCAAGAATTCTGGAGCTTTGTCTGACATACTTTGGACATGTTGGAAGGAAGAGACATCATGCCTGGGAGGGTAGGACAGTACAAGAAAGGAAGACCCTTGATGACATGGATTGACTCAGTTACTGGGGTAATGGGGGTAGATGGGTCAGAGATAAAGAAGTTGGTTTAGGATACAGCAGGGTTCAGAGCTGTTGTACAAAGGGTCGCTATGAGTCACAAGTGACTCGATGGCACATAACAAAAACAATAATTATTAATCCACATTATGGACTTTACAATTTGATTTTAAATTTGCTGTGTCATTGAAAAGAACCAGAATTTTTAACTTAAGGAAAGAGGAATGTAATAATTCATATCAGTTTCACTCACCTAAGAGAAAAAATTTGAATCTAATCTTATTTTCTTTCTTTAAATTACACTAGTTTATTTGCAAAATTTGAATACATTGTTTTCCAGAACAGATTCTTCCACTTTCCTTCACCCCTCCACCCATCAAATTGTACAACTTTATGATTAATCCCGCCCTGCACATCCTCTTCCCTCTGCTTCCACCCTTCCCTCAATCTTATTTTCATATGAAAAAATTAATATGTACACATATATACACCAATCATAACACATACATACACATTTATTGCCATTGTTAGAACCTGTTGAATTGTCTCTGTCTGGAGCGACTGTGTGTACAAAAGAATGAAACGCTGCCCAGTCCTGCACCATCTTCACAATCTCTGTCAGGCTTGATTGAGTTCACAGACGCA